CAAAAAGAGGTTTGGAGCTTTGTTTGATGAGTTTTTCAATCTGTAAAAGACTCCACGATGCTAATACAAAGTTGAATATATTTTATAGAGAAGACTAATAAAATATTGGTTCTTGAACTAATTTGGCAGTGCATTACACCTTTATTCAACTTGACACGCAGTAGTAAGGTCCGCCCTTACGAATCTGCTCTTCTCACTTGAATGTTGGACCAAAGCATACGCCGAAGGCTACGTTGATCAGGTCTATATTAGGCGAGCCTTTACGGAGTTTGGAATTTGGAATTTTCCTTCCGTATGGGTGCTTTTCCTAGCGTCTTTGTAACTCATAGGGAATCCAAAGGCGTTCGCCTATCTTTCGCTTCATAAAACTGAACTTAAGAAAGGGCATCTTCAGTTTTCTAAATAAACCTGTCAATTTAAAAATAACTTTTAACTAGGCCACCAGGTCCGTCTGCGTCTAGGATTTCTTGAAAAAAGGCATAATTACAGATCTTTTTCGAAACCGAAAGATACAGGTAATACTAAAAGGGGGTAAATTGTCGGCATCCTGCCAGGATTGAAATCCATTCGGATTAAGTATTAAGCTAGCCCGTAGAATAACCTCACGCAATTAAACTTCCTTAATGGGAAACATTTAACCAAGGTAAGTCCGCTAGTGTTGAACAGGAGTAAGCATTTTATCAAAGAATGCAAAATCCAGCAGACATTTTACGTAATGGAGTATTTCCACGAGCCACGCCGACATTTTTTTTAGCGAGCGTGGTCCTCCGAGATGAAAAAAAAACTGCTATATCTACCAATGGACCTACATTGCGCAAAGAGTGAGCAACCAGAAGAATGCACCTAGTGGAACATTGATTAATCAAAAGTCTGCTTCAGATCCCGTTAAAGCAAAAGTGCAAAAGTAGGCATGTTACTAAAATTATATTAGTAGCATTTACTAAGGCAATCTGTTTCCTTTAAAGCAAAAGAGTGTACAGTGTCAGCTAACCAGTCAGACTCGACGAGGCGGCGGCGCGGTCTCCTTCCGGAGGCTGGCAGATATCGAGGGCGGCTGTGTAGCGTTTGGCCATATCAGCATCCCAAATGCTCGAGAGGTTGGTACCAAAGAGGGCGTACAGCAACTGGGGGGACAAAGGGGTGTAACGAATAGGTAGTTGTAATGGCAAAGCGAGAACCGCCGAAATCGCTGCTGTGATTGCATACGATAATATTACTTGTAATAAGCAAGTAGGCGTTTATGTTTACGTTTCAATTGCCGAAAGGCAGTCAGGCTACAGAGGATTGAGAGACATTACCATTCTCCTGTTGAGACGAATAGCATCGGCCCCTCGTCCTCCACCACTAGCAGTTAGAAGAGCTTGATTGCAGTAATTCAAACAAAACTGGACCAGGCAAACTATGGCTGTGACGAACTTACTGCAATCCAAAACGATTTAAAAGCTCACTTTCATTGCAGCCTCCAGGGAGTTCAGAGGATCCCATTCGTAACAGCACTCGAGGTAGTATAGCAGTTCATCCACCATGTTGACTATATTGCCGAACCGTAGGCCCTCGAGAACACGACTCAGAGCCGTCAGCGTAGCCGAAAGCAGTTTGAAGGTCCGGTCGGAAGCAGGGGACAGGTCGGCTGAATTCTGTGTCAGTAAGAAGAAGAAGAAGGCCAGATTTACTGCATGACGATCATACTCTGTTTGAAAACTGAAACAGTGACGTCTGTCACGTGCTCCATGAGTTGAACGCAGCAGCGGTGGGGAGGACTTGCGTAGTATCTACCTAACCCTCGCTCAAAAGAGGTGCCTGGGAATCTGACATCTGGCAAATATCTTCTGGTGAATCTCTTCCAGAAATTCAAATTGCACTACAATTACTTCCCCTAACTGGATGGTGTCACATAAACTAGAGACCCAGCATGCACTAGAGTGAATCTTCGAGTGCGGCACCACGCTAACATTACCATTTTGGGTGGCGACAACAGCAAAATATGCTCTACCTCACCGGTGGTCGGTTTTGATAAAAATAAATTGGCTTACCGAGACGAACAATATCAACAACGCTAAAGTGGGTCGAGATGGTTGGGTAGATTCTCTAGCAGAAGCTAGCATGTCAATAGAATTGGGCATTCAGACATAGGAGATGTGATGGCTGGAACAAGAAGATAATTTGCTTGACATTTCGGATTCTGAATTGCAGTCTTCCTCTGAGGTAACCACAGAATAGGGTGATACATACACAGATTAATGTGATACACGCACCGATTACGTATTATTGATAGCTCGTAGTGGCCAGGCGACCATAATCAACGCTGGGGTCATGATCGATACGATTATGGCTTGGCAATCCGCTTTTGAGTCAGTAATTGCAGCGATTTCGTCCTCCGTGTTGAAGGGAAGCCTGGTACTTTCGCGACAATTATGTTCGCTGTCATCGGAGTTGTTGTTGGACCCGGCCCTTCCTACGTGACTGATTCTCCTGTATGAAATTGCTCAACAGTTTGCAACTTATCATATGCGAGTTATATTTTTCACGAGTTTGGACACCTAATGACAAACTCAGTAAAGAGGATATGATTGCAAAATAAAACCAAAGGAAGGAGTGTTTTCGTCTCTCATTTGTTGTCCAATGATTTTAATGTAATTCCGTACGGTTGAAGTTCATTGAC